GGCCTGCGGGCCACCTTCGGGTAGCTGCGGAGAGACCGCTCCTTCCTGCCCCCCCAGCCCCGGGAGGGGCCCCGAGCCTCGCGCCGCGAGACTGGCTATTTTTGGAGCGGCTGGGGTGCGGCGGCATTTGGGGAGCGCCTTGGCACCCCCTCTCGGACCACCTTTGTGTCCATCGGATTTTCTCCTTTGGGACGGACCTCAGGGAGTTAGGCAAACGTGGCCCGGCCCCCCCTCCCAGGCGGCCTGGTGGGACGGTGGTCGGCCCTGGAAAGCGGGGCCCCAGGACCCGCGCCCCAACACTCAGGGTTTTGCTTTCCCACCGTTTACCTACTTCCTCCTGCTCTCCTTTGCCAAGGGCGACTTTCCGTCAAGACTACGCCGGCCTCTCAAACTTCGTCGGCCACAGGCAACCCCGCGGCGGCCCGGTGTGGCGCCCAGTAGAACTGTGCGGCGCGGTTTGCAAGGCTGTCATCTTTATGGACGCTGGTCGCCTCCTCTCCCCCATGCAGAGTGCCACAACTGTTCGGCCTCCGGGACCCCTAAACACCCTTTAAAACTCACTCGCTGCCATCGAGTCGATTGTGACGCATAGCAACCCCATAGGACAGAGTGGAACTGTGCTGTGTGAGTTTCTGGGGCTACCAATCTTTACCGAAGGAGGCAGCCTCCTCTTTCTCCCTTAACTGCGTTTGCAGCTTGCAAACGCAATCCCACACCCGCCAGCCACTCCACCCTGGCCTCTTCCTCTCCCCACTTATCACACAGTACCTTGTGAGAGCCAAGGGGCCCCTCCGTGGTGCCCTCATCTACCAGGCCCACGACCAGACCACACTGCTGAACCCCAAACTAAAGGAGGCAGCACAAGCGTCCCTTTCGGCCGTGGCCACGCTGGCACACGGTGACCCTGTAGGACAGAGTAGCACTGCCCCTGTAGGGTTCCAAGACTGTGGCTCTTTACTGAAGCCTCATCTTTCTCCCTCATGCTGAGCGTTTAACCACTGCACCACCAGAGCTGCTTAACACAGCTTCACACCTGCCCAAAATGCACACCCAGAGGAAATACCAGACCATCACAAACGAAAAAGACTATCATCTGTAAAAGCAATATTGGGCAATCCTCATCGGAACCATCAAGGTCAAAAAACAACAAAGAGTGAGAACCGGTCACAAATTGGAGGAGTCTAAACGAGCCTTGGGAGCCCTGGTGTCAGAATGGTGACGCATCCAGGTGGGCTCCGCAAAATTCGCAGTTTGAAACCACCACGGGGCTTCTTACTCCTGTAAACAGTTACAGTCTCGTGACCTCACAGGCATAGTTGTACCCTGTCCGAGAGCGTGACTGTGAATCAGCACGGTTCGGTGGCAGGGAGAGAAGGAGCCACTTCGGGAGGGTGACACAAGTGGTTAGGGGTTGGGCTGGTGAGTGCAAGGTCAGCAGTTTGGAACCACCAGCCATTCCTCGGGAGAAAGATGAGGCTCTCTACTCCCGTAAAGATGTGCAGCTTAGGGGACCGACAGGAGCAGTTCTGCTCAGCCCCACAGGGTTACTGGTCCACCGAATCAACCCGATGGCAGAGTTTTGAGTGGAAAAGGAGCCTTCGTGCTGCTGTCAGGTAAGCACTAGACTGCTAACTGCGAGGGCGATGGCTCGCCCACCAGCTGCTCTGTGGGAGGAAGATGAAGTCATCCAGCTGCCCCCACAAAGCTTTACAGGCGCAGAAACCCTGGAGGGCTGCTAGGAATCAGAGTCGGCTCACTGGCAGTAGGCTAAGCAGACATGGATTTCATTGCTGATAGCAG